ATTTTTATGTTTTTTACTGTTCACTAGATATTAATGTCAGGAGAGAAGATAATTAAGTGTTAATAGCGTAGCAAGTATGTACTATGAACATTATACATTTATAATTATTACGAACAATAATATTTGTCAGAATAAATGCGGCTATTTAAAAACGAGAATATTAGATATTCTGGGGTTAATATTATTACATGCGTATGTACATTTATTTAAAAAGTATTAAACACATTGGTTTCGATATGACGAATTTTTTTATATTTTCAATATCAAGTAAATTTTATTTCATAGACGAATAATATAAAAAGAGTATTATAAAAATGCGTGAGTTCTCTTCTTAATTCTCACGCAAAATTGGAAATATCCTAACAGACGTAGTTGGGAATATAATTATCGTTGATATTGAATAAGTGACTTATCGTTTTATCAGCGTTACAACAATCAAACCGTTTTGGAATTTACCGCACAAAATAATGTGAATGGCGCTAATTAATAAACACGTGAACAAATTATCGCTGGTTTCTTCCACTTAAAGTACACGAACTAATAAGAGAATATGTTACGTTATTGATATAAAATATTTCTAGGATTCGTCAATGCTTAACGTAATTATTTTTCAACAATTAACTTGAATTCCGTTCCCGCTTTGTTCTTTTAAAAAATTTTACGATACGTCTGAACGTTTATATTTTAAGTTTGATGTTATCAGATCAATATTGATTATTACATTATTAATAATATTACGTAAATAGAAATTTAAAAGTCTGATGTTAAATCGTTGCCAAACGTTCAATATTATCAACTGTTAACGAACAATCGTAAAAGAAAAAAAGATACGGAAAATATTGGTGAGACGGTTGAACCTCTTCATCTACTAGAGAAAAGAATGATCGTCCTAGCGAATGTACATTAGTTCACCTTCACATGCATATATTATTCTATAAAAAAGAAAATACGAATAAGAAACATTGTTGAGCTAACAAGTTTGTACTTTATTATGCATGAGAAAACGCATATTCGTGCAGTATAATATATTGATTTCTCGTTAATAGGCGTAAATAAAATAAGATAGATTGATAGGTAGTCATTTTTACAGTGAAATAAAGATTATCAAATTCAAATTGGAATGTTTTCTTTGAATAAAAACATGTTCTTCCAACCTACCTTAAAACTTATGTGTCCATTATATTTTTGGAAGTATAAAAAACAGTGTTTGATAAATTATGTGTATACAGGGCAGTTCATCAAATATTACCACCTCGAATTTCGTTGTCATTATTATGCGTAGCAAAGAATGTTTATGTATAATGTTGAATGGTCTCGAGAGAGGCACATTCTGGTAAGCTATTTTTAATAGAAGAATAATATGAAAATGAGAAGAGAATGCAATATGTTCGAATGAAGAATGCTTCATCGATGAGTGCAAGGAATCCTGCACAATCCCATTTAAGAAAATGTAAAAATCCCACTACACA